ATTATTTATTGTGAAATTTTGCCTCCCCCACTACGCTACGCCACTGGCTGAATGTTTCCTCAATTCTGTATGTTTTAACACTTTTCAATGTGAATTATTTGATTTAAAAAATATACCATTTCCCCATATGGATCTATGTCAATTTTAACAATATTTTACTAGGATATCACGCGACTTTGTCGTATCGCGATAGAATTGAGGCGGAGCTGGAAGGAAAGAAGCGATCCCTGTACCTGTTCAGGCACAGGAGATGCGATCCTTGTACTTCACGGACGCGGGCAGGTGAACTTAGCCCTTGCCACCACAAAGGAGGCTATTCTCGTACCTGCAAGCCACGGAAGACACGATCCCTGCACTAACAATGTCACTGTAATACTTTTTGTATATCGAAAATGAAGTCATGGACTCCTACTTTTACTTCCCTGGCTCTGTTATAGATAACAGGGAAAGTATGACGATCAAAAATTACCTCCTGAAGATTTTTACAATTTTTTACTTCGGGATCTTGAAACGTCGAGAAATGCAGAAACATTGTCGTTTTTTCCTCTATGTACGGATGTTATTGTGTGTGGGAGGGCACGATTTTGTTTACCCTCTTTAAAGCTTGACTCATGTGCTTTTTGTCTAAAATTTCTGAAATTTTTCAGGTTAGTCTGTTTATTAGGGGATTGATGCTATTAAATTTTGGTGGTTAAAAGTCAGGGCATGGGAAGATAAAGGGAGGTTGTCTGTCGTATCTAGAGTAAAGTCGAACTTATCTTAATGACGATCTTACTCGTTATTAGCATTTACAATTTTTTGTAAAACCAACCCTACCCTCAAAATTAAGTTTTTTGCCATTTTATAATAATTTAAAAAATGTAAATAGTTTTTTAATGAAATATCGTAACAGATGGCGCCACAAAAATTTTAAATATTGCCGGGAAAGTTAAGCAATTCATTGCTGGATTTTTTTCATTTAAATGGATCCACATTGCATTTCTGGATTCCTCGTTTCAATTAATGTAAAATGACAAAATTTTATCAAAATCAATCAAAATTTTGAGAATAAACTCGATTGTATAAGTTCATACAAGATGTCCTAGCGACCATGAAACGACTTTATATCTAGAAAAGGGAGCCATAGACCCCATTTTTTTCATTGCATTTTTGGATTCCGCATCGTAATTAATGGAAAATGGCAAAGTTTAATCAAAATCTATCAAACGGTTTTGAGAACGAACACAATTCTGTAAGCTTCATATAAGAAACTTCATTAACGCTCCGCTTCAACTAGATAATTATTTTTGTAAACGTAATAACACAATAAAAAAAATGTAGTATATATGTTAATTTTGAATTTTAAAATGTTCGATGATTACAAAATATAAAATAAAATGCAGAGCAACTTAAAATGACTTATGTTTTTCGTTCAAAGAAAAAGTTTCAATGTATGATTCTTTCCCAAGATTTTGCTAGGTACTTTGCTAAATTATATTTTATAAAAAAAAATCTAGCAACGAGTTGCTTAACTTTCCTGGAAACATTTGGTGGCGCTATCTGTTAAAATACTTTATTTAAAAACTTTTTATATTTTTAACTACAGTAGAGCATCGATTATCCGACTCAATTGGGGACTCGGGTTGGTCGGATAACTGAAAAATCGGAGAACCGAAAAGAATGAAAAAAATACATTAGTATAGTATATTAGTAGCCCGGGACGCCCCCTAGTGGGCGTTGTTTACAAATTTCCATGAAGCACGGTTCCTTTGACTTTTTTGTTCCTATCAATATGCTCTACAGCTCTGTTAAAGTCCCAATGGTAAGATTAGGTGAAGAGGTGGCGACCCCCCAAACTGTAGCCGCCTGTGCGAACAATAAAGGCAAAGGAATTATACCCCTACTCGCGACCCTTCGCGAGATATAGCCTAAGCCCCTGAAATAATAAATTCCTATTACAAATATACTGAATTATTTATATTGTTATATTGACCAAATAATAATTTATTGGCCAAATGAATAATAATAATTTATATTGTTAATTTAAATAATAATTAAAATTGTTAATTTGAATGTTTGAAATATGACACACGATAGGGGCGCCTCTAGTGTCCGTTATCAAACGGTTACGGGACGGACGGACGGACACCCGTTGAATGGGTTATATATATAGATTAGTATATCCCATGTAATTAGTATATTAGTATATCGCTATTAACCTACTTCGCATTGAATTTTCATCGACGTTAAGCCTAACAAATTTTTTTTAAAATAATAATCGTCGCTATTCTATCGTTAAAAATTATTTTAAAATTATTTTATTGCTCACAAAACAACCACTCTTAATTAGAAAATTAAGTCTCGTTTAAATACTGGTCTCCCTTCAATGGTCGAGCCGTGGTTGCCAGCTAAAACACGCAAAAATTTAACAAAAATAATATTAAAATAGCCAAGACAGCCAAATATTGTAGTGCCACATCACTAGCGGACATTTGAAATCTGCCCACTAGAACGGTCGGTTAACCGATGTGACGGTTAATCGGGAGTCGGATAATCGATGATCTACTGCAGTGGTCCCCAACCCTCGGGCCGCGGACCGGTACCGGTCCATGGTACAAATGGTACCGAGCTGCCCAAGGAACATTAAATTATTTCCATTTTATTTACTGTGGTGTGTTTCTCTCGGGTTTCTGCGACTTTTAATGGACGAGTGGTTAACCGGGAGCTGAGAGTCGTCACCTAAAGCCGCACCAATACCGTCCATGCATTTACCAATACTGTGTCTTTGCTTTTAAAAGAATTCGAGCGCTACTTCCCAACCGCAAAAGACCCACAAACTGTAAGGAATGGATCCGCGACCGATTTGCCAACAAACCAGGCGAATCTAGCATGTCTGTGCAAGAAGAAGATCAACTGCTGGAGATTGCAAATGACAGCGGCCTTAAAACTACGTTCGAGACAACAACTCTGGCGGTGTTCTGGATTAAAATCATGGCGGAATACACTGAGATTGCCACCACAGCACTTAAATCCCTATTGCCATTTCCAACATCCTATCTGTGTAAAGTGGGGTTTTCTGCAGTGACAGCAACCAAAACAAAACAACGGAATAAACTGGACATAAGAAACACACTTCGGGTGTCAATGTCTCCTATTACTCCTAGATGGAACCGTCTCGTTGCAAACAAACAAGCTCAGGGTTTTCATTGATTTAACGTTCTAGTGAGTTAAAATGTTAAATTGCTTTATATTCATTTTTTGGTGTAACTGTATTTTATTTTGAAGGCATGTTTAAATACAATTAAATTAAAATTATTAAATCAAAACAATCTAAAATATAAAAAATCAACGTTTCCCCCTCAGCGGCCGCGGTAAAATTATCAAACGTTGATCGATTCGTGGCGATAAAAAGGTTGGGGACCGCTGCTCTACTGTATTATAAAATGGCAAAAAGCTTAATTTTGAGGGTAGGGGATGAGTTTTATAAAAAGTTGTAAATGCTAATAACGAGTAAAATCGTCATTAAGTTCGATCATACTCGAGATACGACACACAACCTGCCTTTATCTCTCATCCCATCGACCTTTAACCACCAAAATTTAATAGTATCGATCCCCCTAATAAACAAAACTCCCTGCAAAATTTCAGAAAGTTTCGACAAAAAACACAGGAGTTAAGCATCAAAGAGGATGAACAAAATAGTGCCCCTCACAAACTAACATCCATACATACAGAAATTATTTCCCCCCGAATTTTTTGCATGTCTCGACGTTTTAAGGTGTTCTGACTTCAAAAATATAAAAATAAAAAAAATTAAGTTGTTAAAATTTATTATGGATAGTAGTTTGTATTTCGATTGTTTTATATGTAACGAGGAATATACAACTTCTGAATTAAACAGCATTAAAATTGTCATATTTGAAAAAAAAAGCTTCTCCTTTTTACTACAGAAATTTTGTTAAGTTTGGGACCTCAATAAACTTCGGGACGCCTTTAAGAGAACGTTTTCTAAAATTGATTTTTGATAACTCATGATAGCCTATATCATGAATTATCAAACTTCGAAAACTTCGTGTAAGCTATATTTTTTTACGGGTTCATTCAATTCTGATTTCATTTCATAGATGACATAATGCAAGAATACAGAGAATAATGAAGTAAAGCCAAAGAATAATTCTAAAAAAGAAAAATATATGAAAAGAGTGATTAATCTGATATGGAACCTAATACTTGTAGGGTGTCTTGAGATGCTCAAAAAATACATGAAAGAGCACATATTTAGGTCTAATCTTATTCAGAACGCTCTGTAGAAAATAAAGATTCTCTCTTTTTAAAAAAGAGCAATCAATTGCATTGATCAATCAAATTACTCTTGGTTTTAGTATAGATCACATGTAAATCTGTAATGGATGATCACACATTATTTTTTATGATGAGTAAGTGTAAATGATATTAATTTACGTTCGAAATAACCGTTGCATATTAAAAAACATCAGATATTTTATTTATTAATATATATATTATTCAGTCATTTGATAGGTCATTTTCATGTAAAATTTCATTTAATTCATACGAGAGTTTTCTTCGAAATATTTAAAAATTTTAGTTCCTTGATTTTTTAATAAGAAAAATACATATAAAAATTTGGTTAATAATCCATTAAACATTTAATAAAATCTTTATAAATAAATCAAAAATTTAATGTAGAAGTTATACATTCGTGTATAAATACGGTATATAAGTTTATAATCAAAACTTTTAATTGATTCTGTAGATAAACAAAACACTAAATTTTGCTGGCAATTTTTTATATTTTTATCTATTTAAAAAATACCAGTTTAAAAGAGAAATAAATATTTGTTAATTTGACATAAAAGTTCGATGATATCTGTAGAACTATATTTATTAGCAGAAGGTTAGGAGTTTATCCAGAGATGACTAACTGCCGTGACGGAAAATAGTACAAAGTTTACAATAGTTGAAGTTTTATAGGAAAGAGGGCGCCATAGATTCCAATTTATGTAACTTTCGTTACGAGGGAGGCGTGTTTATTCATACACGCAACTATCTGGATATAATGTAAATGGAAGAAGATAATTTACCATCATCGTCGTTAATTTTGCCGGCTCCCAAGAGGAAGATAAACAAGAAAATATGGCCTTACTTCATTATTGTGATTTACGTCTTGATCATTATACTGTCTATCGCCCTGTTGTTACATATGTATACTATTCAGGAAACAAAATTTCAAAAAAGTTGCCCACTATTTGGCCATCCCGATGTGGAAAAGCTGAAAAATGATTCCTTCAGTTTTAATACAGATGAAAACGAATTCCAATGGGGATCGGACAGTTATTGCAAATTTTCCTTTTTTACGGCCACATTTTCCACCTTAGTGGCTTTTATATGGTGCTGGTTTTTCTTTTATTCTCAATGCGATCACGCTTTAGGAGAGGAAAACTTTGGCAGGTAAGATGCCGATCTCTGAAAAGTTTACTTAATAATACGAAAAAGAAAACGAACGGTCGCTATAAAAAGTCGTTCCGATAATAACTGTATCGCGTGATAATGCTTATCGTTCACCTGTTAGGTTTTAAGATTTCGATGTTTTTCCTCCAACAACGATTTACTTTTAACGAATTATTTAAAAAGTGTGTAGACATTTTTTAAATAATGTTTTTACAATAAAAATAACCGCAATAACTTTAATAATAACCAAAGTGATAAACGTTGATTCGTTCTAAAATATAAAACTTTTCAAATTTTTTATATTGTTATATCATAAAAAGATAAGATTGTTTTCATTTTTAGAGAACATTTTATTTAAAAAAAATTATTTTTATTTTTACAAAAATATAATATTGAATGATGTTGATGTTTTATACAAGTTTAATTGCAACGTCACAGTTGTTTTTAAATTTCATTTAATATTGTGCAGCGTCATAATTGTACATTTCTCCTATGATTAGAACAATTAAATATAAAAAGTCACGTGTTCCTTGATCATTTAAATGGATATTATATAGCCTATATATGTATTTGATGATTAAAAAAGATTTTAAAACTTTATACTTTATATTGATGATATAAATTAAATTATAGCCAGACCTATATTTTATTACAATTATTTATTTGTCTTCTATTGATTTTTCTTATCAAGAAGAGTTCCGAGTTTCTATTTAGACGGAATCAATTGTTATCTACGGAAGAACGTTGAATAAAAATGATAATTTCGAACGTCATACACCACATTAAACCTGTTTTGAGGAAAAAACATCATTTATTGTTTGTAATTTCACGCATTTTTGATTTCGTAACAATACACAAAGGTTCGTTTCTCGTTTCGTATTATAAATTTACTTCATTAAAACCTTCATATAATATTTTTATTAAATAATATAAATATATACGATATAAAAATAAATGAGACATCCAGGAAAACAATTAACTATCGCTAGATTAAAACAACTACACAAGCAGAAAGTGTTTCAAATATAGTAGCATTGTCGTCATTTATGACAAAGCGCAACAGCCGTGTGTTCCAAATTAGAAATGTAGTTTGCTTGGAATGAGACTTGCACCGTTTTTATGATGTCTCGTTCACGTTAATGAACGAAATATTTTCGATAATATACGGCTTTTTCTAAAAGCATCCGACATTTTACATGAAAAAAATTATTAAATTAGATTGGATTGTGTATACTGTTAGGAAAAATAAATTGGTTTCTCTGTTATATTCTTTTTATAGTACATTATTAGCAAATTTGTGAAGGTGATGATTAATCTATGTATTAAATTATTCACGTTGTTACATAAATAAAACACTTGACAAAATTTATATAAATGCACATCAAAATGTTGTAAATAATTCTGTAGATATTCGATCGTGAGAACAGTTTAATTCTGTAAAGGGCTATAAGACTGTGTTGTTGATTCGAGAAACATCTGTGATAATTTTTTTCTTACTTTCTTTTTTAATGCCCTGTTAATACATCTCGGATTACACATAAATGTTTTTATTGATAATCTCTTAAAGTCAAATTATTGTTTATAGCTTCACAGTGCCAGAAAATTTAAATATACTTCTATTGATTGAAGTTTCCTCCTAGAAAATCCGCAGGTTCTAATTATTTAATCGTTAAGATGATGATGATGATGATAATATAGACTCGTTTAGTTTTTTTATGAGGAAAAAGTATTTTTTTTTCTTTTATGGAAACCTTTAACAAAATATAAACCGCAATAACTTTAAAAAAACTCAAGGTTAATTGGATAAAATGTCACATGTCGGATAGAGTATTAAGTAAAAAAGTGTTGATAAAGCTATCGTTCTAAATAGATTCTATATATTAAGAAAATACACGAGGAATACATTCCTCTACTAACGAATGATTATATTTCAGGGATAATGAGCAGCGATGCCTATTGTTGCCGGCCAACATATCTGCCCTCGTCATGTCTTTTTTATGTCTGGCACAAAGTGCCATTATTGTAAGGGGAATCACGCAGTTTTGCGACCATCTATCCGAGACTCCTGCTAAAAGGCAAATACAACCTTATATCATTATAATTATAACGAAAAAAAAAGACGAATTCCTTTAATTTATGGATTGCTTCTTTCTACAGTTGTCAAAGTGCCAGTGACTTAAGCTGGGAATATTTCAACGACTTGAAAGGATTTTATACAATTTTTCAATTTTTATTGGTAAGCGAATTTTTACTTTTAATTATTTAAAATAAAAAGTTGTCTGAAGAGAAAAGATAAATTAAATAAAACGTAATAAGACGATTTGGTATAATGGCATGATTATATATAAAAAATTCTCTTCCATACTTAAATTTTAATAATGAATAATGAAAAATTGTCTGTAGTATTCTTAAATTCGTATTAGAAGAATATGGTGGATCAAAACNTGAATTTACATATTTAAATACTGATTAAATCGAAATAAAAATAATGTAGTTTTTCATTTTAAAAATCAATATATTTTAATATATTAATATATATTATATTATATATTTAACGATATATTTTTTCTCTTATTTTTAAATGAATAACTACATTTTCCCCTCCAAAAATTTCTCTTTTCAGTGTCAGGTTTTCTCCAGAATTACCGATAAATAGGCTATTTGAATAATAATTGAGATTTTTTTATTCAAATTTTTTAAAGAAAACATTTATTAATTATATAAAACGCGTATTACTTATAATGATTTTCTTTTCTTTGTTCGAAAAAAAACGCATTTTCTAAAAAAATTTTAAGAAATGGAATACTTTTGAAGCTGGACTTTTGTTAATTTTAATAAGATATGATTTATTTCTGAATATTTAGGGTGTTAAAAAGCACTCGGTATTTATATGATAGTTAGCATGCACCATATTGAGAAACTTCAGTAAATACATGTCGAAACTCAATTATTTCTAACAATTTTGTACGTGGTTGTTTAGTATCACGACTGACTTATTGGCTTGTGCGTGTGGCATGCGACGTAAAAAACAGGATAATCTTGCAAAATCTTTATGTCGATATTTACAGGTGTTGCACATGGTCTCCTCCTATTTCGATACACGCTTAGCTTTTCCTTACAGTGGAAAATTCCAAGCCTTTATAGTATTGTTTATGACAAACGATTTAGTTTTCGATTTAGGTTATGTTTACTCAGTATGGAGTGTACTATTTATCATATAAATGCTGAATACTTCTTTTTAATTCATGTAGAATAATAATTACTCTACGTAATTGATGGTTAGAAATTACTTTCCTAAATAAACAAAGATTCAATATTTAATACTACTGAGACAAAAACTACTATTGGCCTTATAATACAGAAATAATAATCAATAAATAAAATAATTATAATTAAAAGTCATTTCTAAGAATTATTTTCTTAGTAAATATCATTTAAGAAGTATTAATTGTATTAATAAACTAATTTATTTTTATTTCATTTGTGTTTTCTATAAAATTTTCGAAAAACGTGAAAAATTACGAAAGTTGTAATGAAGTTAACGGTCTATTTATCATTTTGGCTTATTTTATCGTTTATACATTTGACTGTATAATTTATTAAATTGGACTATATGATTAGCCTTTTCTCTTTGAAATCTTCATCACTCCAAGACGTTATAACGAGTACGATTACGGAACGTTACAATCGATAAACTATGCCAGAATGATTTATATTAGTGCTTATTCTGTATTCTGTATAAAAACTGTGACTTGGTGAATAAATAAACCCATAAACAAGCTTAATTATATATACGTATAAGTACATATGTTATTGCTATAATTAGAATATAATTACTTCGTTTGTAATCGCGTTGCCGTGCGTATTAGGCTATATATGCATAAAGATTAACATAAATTAAATTTTTGACAATATACAGAACAATGACCTCAAATGATCGGTATTTCAGGATACTTTAATATATATACATCTTTTTATTTTTCAATTGTTTAAAAGTGGATCACTTAATAGTGGAGAGAATAAAATTATATATAAAATGGTGATTTTATTTGGCTTTTAAAAATAAAATTTTATGTGTTACAAACATAATATCAGAATATGATTAAAACTGCTGTTTAAACATAAAAGTTTAATAAATATGGAATGCGGAATTCATTTGACAGGACACAAAACACCTGAAAATGTTTGGGTATCAACTTACAAACGGCTGTTTATTTCCAGTCACGATTCTGAAATATTTAATCGTTTTATTGACTATTACGTTAAAATTCTCAAATTTCAAAATGCTTTTTTTATTTCAAAAAAGATAATTTAAAGTTTTATTTAAAAAAGCAGGTAATAAAGACACATAATTTGCTCATATATGCGTCTTTTTTGAGACACGTACGTAAAGCTACTTAAAAGAATTTAAGAAGGATTTTTATCTGTTTGAGTTAATAGTATAAACGTAGAGATCATATTGATTTTTCTAACACGCAAGCCTTAATAAAAATGTTATGTTGAAAGGAATTTTATTGAAAAATACTTTTGCATCGCCACTTTTAAGAACCGAAAGATGAAATCGGCATTTTTCAAAATTTAGAAACAAAACGATGAGGTTTTATATATAATATGGAGAAGTTTGAGGTAAAATAAGTAACTTACTTTCTAAAAGTCAGTCAGATATATTTTAAAATTATTCTATAATAATGCCTCTTTTGTGTCTTATTCTCATACAGAGCAGTGTTAATTAGTAATTTTCATTCCTTCGTCAGTATTATTAATATTAAAAAGTATTCAGTATCATTAATCATTATCACTTTCTTCCGAATATTCGTGAAAAAAATTGTTTTTAATTTATGTTGAATTAACTAATAGATTCTCGTTTACTTGATAATAGCAATGATAGGAGTTTTTTAAATTATCATTGGAGTTATTCGTATATTTTATTATGTTATAATAATATAAAAAGATAGCCGTTTAAACTTGCCTTGGGAGTACAGTATTTTGTATGATTAGATCGGGGTTCTCAACCTTTTTCATGTAAAATTATACATAACTTATATAGGCATATACTATATATAATAATATTATATACAGTATATACATTGTTTCTTAAATATTTTTTTAAAAAGTTTTGAGAATGATAGTGGAAATATTTTCAAGAATTTTTAAATGATTGTATATTACTAAATAATTAAATATTAAAATATTTGCTCATCGATCCTTTTTCGAACTGTCATCGACTCCATTGGGAAACCATGATCTAGATTCAAACTTTTGTAAAATATGGAAACGAAAACTTAATTTTAAATCTGATTGTTTTCATTAACGATTTCCCTGCCAACGTTAAAATGATATCAGATTTTATATATTGCGGCCGAGGCTGTTAATATGGCAGCCTACCTCCTTTGGGGCCCGAGAATTAATCCGGTCGGGTCGGGTCGAGTCCCACAAATTTTTTGGAGTTGTTCTGTCCGGGTATGTCGGGTTCCACTTCCATCCAGTCGCCCCTGTAAGCCTGGCCGAACTTATGATATGCTGATTAAAAGGCGCGCGTAGTGACCACAGGACGGAAAGAGTAAAAAATCCAGCAACGAGTTGCTTAACTTTTCCGGCAATATTTGATGGCGCCATCTGTTACGATATTTTATTTTTAACTATTATAAATGGCAAAAAGTTTAATTTTGAGGATTTAAGAATAGGTTTTATAAAAAGAAAAAAAATGTAAATGCTAATAACGAGTAAAATCGTCATTAAGTCCGACCCTACAAAAGATACACACGATCCCCATTATCTTCCCACCCCGTCGACCGTAACCACCAAAATTAAACAGCATCGATCCCCGTAATAAACAAACCAACTTGCAAAATTTCAGAAATTTTCGAAAGCACAGGAGTTGTTAAGCTGTTAAGCTTCAAACGGAGTGAACAAAATCGTACCGAGTCCAAAAATTAAAAATCTGGGGGGGGTCATTTTTTGATCGATCGCCTGTTACATATAACAGCCGGGAAAGTAAAAAATAACACTTAAAGTTCGATTTTTATTCGAATATTAACTGCAATACAGAGTAGAAATCATTGTATTTGTTAGTATATATTGTATATATTATAACAAATTACTTACTTGCTGTTGGTACTACTGGTGACATCAAAATACAGGAAAAAGTAATGCGCTATAAAATTTAAAATATTTTATTGTACCTGATATCTCTAGTACTGACATCAAATGTAAATATAATCGATAAAATAATATGTAAGGATGCGAATGTGGTAATTTCCAACATCTATCTTATCTCACCAACTCTTTATTGAACGAATTTGAAAGTATTGCATTTCCTAGAATTCTATGTAATTCTGATATAGATTACGAAGTTTCAACATTTTACATCGAATAAAGCTAAAAATACAGTCACTCAAAAATGGAAAAGCCAGCCTGTATCATTATCTTCTAAAGAGAAACTCTACTACAGTTTGACAGATTTGAAAGAAAATTTTATATAAAATGGGTATGCCATTAGTTGGATTAATTTGCTGTTCGTCACGTAGAACTCCCTATATTAGATGAATATGAACATAAGATTACTAAGCCTATAAAATTGTAAGATAATTAGATCAATAGACATCTAGTAATTGTGCGATTACGACAAAAAATATTTCATAAAAATTTTATTTCGTATTTTTTTTTTTTTTGATAGAAAGAAATAACTATACTGTATTTAAAATTTTTAAAAATTGAAAGAAACGAGCAATTATTTTATTGTGACATCGTCAAAATGCCGGGCTGCACGTTTTTAATCATATTCTTAATTTATTTAAAAATTATATACTCTCCTCCTCAAATTAGTAGTATCATACTTTTCCTGTTAACAACAGAGTCGTGCCAGTTATCTATCTAATTCCTTTCAGGGGAAAATTTTTGAATTAAAATAACATGACTTTCCTTCTAAATCGGAAGTTCGTAGGTAGTTAATCTGGGCCTCCTACCCTAAGATTTCCGTATCTGATCTTGAATTTCATTTATCTAACACCATTCTCGAGATTAAGGAAAGACGGACAGACAACCGACAGTGGGAATTTATAGGTTACAATTTTTTCAAATTGCAGCCCAATAAAATTTGTAAATTTATTCACAGAAATCAGCTGTTGGATTGATCATACTGTGATACAGAAGAAAACATCAAATGATTAGAAAAATAATTTAAAAAAGAATTATTGATGAAAAAGTTATGAAAATTTTTAAGTTATAATTACCTTCTTTTGTCTTCTTTTGTGTTGTAGAGGTTATGATTATGCCGAAGGTTCGTTACTCTTCAACTACGATTTTCCAATACCTATCGATATAGATGTATGAGCGATGATGTACTGGATTGGAAAAAGCTCCCAGACAAACTGGGAGCTTTTGCCAATCCAGTATATATATATCTAGAGGACCCGGGACCCAACAAAGCTTGAGGAGTAAATATATTGGCTAATGTTAACTGACAAAAAGCTCGTCAATTAACCTTTGGGAATATTTTTGTTTGCTTACTGAGAGTATCATCAGAATAGAAAAATGAACCTCTTCCCACAATATACCGGTACTACCCTCCTGAGAGGAGCAGTACTCATATATAGCAGCAGCAAGACTTCGATAGGACGAGAAACCTCAAGAAACAATGCACTTAGAAGTTTGTCTTACGAGATCCATGCTTCTTTGGAGGTTTCTTGTTCTAAGTTCTGGGTAAAACCTTTCAATACGTGTGAGTCGAATTGTATAGATTAGCGAGTTAGCCTACCCTCTTAACTCTTGATTACTCACTCCCCCCACACTATTGTTCAGCTTACATGTTCGGACATGTAGCGCGGAATCGACACATAGCTACAATTAATTTCGTGTTATTTATTTCTGTGTTTGTTATATCTACGGAGACTTGAGAGACGTGATTTCTTGTAACCGTGAACGAATCAAAAGACACATAAGATTAACGAGAACATTTATTAGCTTACATACATCCGACTTGGATTTTACACAAATTGCGAAATTATACCCCGACTTACGCGATTATCGCTCGGTCCCCACCTATCGCGTAAGTTCGGGGTATTACTGTATTAATCGTCTAACTTTCAACCTCCATAAAATAAGAAATTTCGCTTTCCTACGAAAAGTTAAGTGGCGCTCAAACAAAAGACGAATCGGCGAGATTTGAAAATCGCGTAACTTCGGGTTCGCGTAAGTTGAGGTATTACTGTACACTGAAACTATTCTTAAGAGTATTTTCGTCATTATTCTAAATTATTTTTTTCAGAAACGTTTTGATGCCAGTTAAGGCAATGTCTCTGTTTATTTGATGGCCGAGCGGTCAAGGGGGCAACCTACCGTTCTGGAAGACCCGGATCGAATCCGAACGGGTCGAAAAATCCCAGGAATTTTTCGGGGGTTGTCCGTCCGGATATATTAGGCCCCGTCCCTTACCACCCGCCCGCCCCATTGTGGGCCTAGTCGAACTCATAATGGGCTTGCTAAAAGAGGCCCCCTTAGTGCCCACAGGGCGGAAAGAGTTAAAGAAAAATTTTAACGTAATAACTGATGCTGTGTTTGCTTTCATTTTCTGTAATATACCAAAGATTGTTACTTATGCAGCTTATAGAAAGATCGGTCTAGTTTTTAACTTTTCATTTTGTTCTTGAAATGTTCGATTTTTGATTTGATTTATAATTTCGCTAACTTAAAATTCTGAAAAGTGAACAGTACAACAGAATCCGATCACTGAAATAATTTTAGTTTCAATTTAAAAAAGTAGAGGCCTAAACTTGTATTGTCCAAAAAACAACAGAGGGGCGCATCATGGTACCCATATCCTGAACTCGCACGTGGTCAGTGATACAAATGAACTAATACTGCTTTTTCGTGAACATTACGTAACATTACCACTTATTAAAAAATATACCGTATTAAATTTTTAATATTACTTGTAATATCTTAATCGAGAAAATGTAATTATTGAATCCATCATTAATTATGTTTGAATTTAGATACAAATTCGATTTTCCCCCAATTAATAGCGAGGTTGCGGCCGAAGTTTTCAACGCGAAAACATGAACGTTAGTTCATGTTTTCGCGTTGAAAACTTCGGCCGCAACTTCGCTATTGAATTCAACATAAAGTTTTCGCAATTCTACGTCAGGCTCTAGTGACCCTGATGTAGATCGCGATCAGAAACGTGACTAAAACAACTTTAATTGGGACTATGGTTTGTATACCATTAATTGTTTCGTCAGAAGGGCATGTTGGAATGCTCTCTTCTGACAAAATATTTATAAAATATCAAAATAAACAATAAATGAATTCGCTATTAACTTTTACACACAAGTTAAATTGCTTATAATTATTTTTCATGCTATTTTTTTTAAATATTCAAATGCGTAAAATTATATCTATGGGCATATTCCTGATAAAGCGGCCTTAATACAGCTGGACGGACAAGCGAGTCAACGACATAATCCGGGCATAAATGGGCTGTCATTGGTTTTATCAGCTGTATTAAAGCCGCTTTACCAGGCAATGCGCCCGTTACTTCCGATGAAAGTCACATATGTTTAATATTAATCAATAGAGAGTAATATGTAGTATCTGAAATATAAATATACCATAAATTGAATTAAACCCGATGGAAATTATAGTAAAAATTGCAAAAATCTGAACCAAAAAATCAAGTTACTAATTCTAAGCCTTTTTTTTCATCAAAGCGTCATCAAATCTTTGTTGATGGAAATTATGCTCGAATTTGATATGAAATTTTTTGTCTAGTGATAATGATAGCTAATTTGTGAATTATGCATTAGAAGTTAATGAGATTGTGAGCCAAACAAACGGCCACTTTATTAATTTTTTTAATCAATAATTGAATAGTGAATGATTATAATATTACATCAAAATTCATTTTCGTAATTAAATATCTCGTTAGATTATTAAAGACATTGCAGTTGATTCAAGCTATCTCCTTAATATTCTGAATTACAAAATAATTTTAGTGAGATAAACCTATGTTTATAAAAAGTTTACTTGA